TATCGACATGTACAACAGCAAAGAAAATTTGGGATACTCTTATAGAAACTCATGAAGGAACCGCCGAAGTCAAAAGGTCTAGATTGAACACTTTGAGTTAAGAATATGAATTATTCAGAATGCTGCCCGGAGAATCCATCCTTGACTTGCAAAAGAGATTCGTTCACTTGACAAACCATTTGAAGGCACTCGGTAAGACTTTAACTAACGATGAATTAAATCTTAAAGTGCTTAGGTCTTTAACTAGGGAATGGCAACCAAAAGTGACGACAATATCCGAAAAGAAAAGCCTAGCAACTATGACTTCCGCAACACTTTTCAGAAAGCTTCAAGAATATGAGACGGAACTTGGAAGGCTTGAAAAACATGAGAATCATGAGAAGAAATCCAAAGGCATTGCTTTGAAAGTTGATTCAAAAGAAAGTCAAGATAAAGATGCATCGGAGGAAGATGAAAAATTCTTGCTTCTTGTAAAAAGGTTAGGAAAATATTTTGGTCATAAAAATAATCTTCATAATGCTAACTTTGTCAAAAGAAAGAAATTTTATAAGCATAAAGATAAAGAAGCCTCCACATCAACACAAGATGTCACATGTTATGAATGTGGAAAGCAAGGACACATCAAGCCAAACTGTCCAAATCTCCCAAAGAAAAATGGATTCAAAGGAAAGGACTCAAAACAAAAGAAAGCCTACATAGCATGGGAAGATAATGATATGAGCAGTTTATCGGAATTGGAAAGCGACGAATGTGCAAACTTAGCCTTAATGGCATCGCATCACTCCGACGATGAAGAAGAGGTTAGTAATGAATTTAATCTTTTTGATGATGATGTTCAAGGTGAAATTGATGAACTCTTGAAAGAATGCAAAAGTTTATACAAAAAGGTGTCAAAACAAGAAAAAGAACTTCTAATTTGTCTAGAAAAAATTGACACCATGACTAAAGATTTTGATCTTCAAAAATAGAATTTTATAAAAGAAAAGGAAAACTTTGCATGCTCCAAGTGTGAATCAAATGTCTTTCAAATTGTTCAATTGAAAAGAGTCATTGAACGATATGAAAAAGGACAAATAGGATCGAAAGGATTACTAAGCCAACAACGTTATCCAAATGATAAAAGAGATCTTGGTTATGTGAATTCTAAGAGACCAAGTAACAATCCCACTGTTTTTGTAAAGGCTAGTAATAGTTCCAATCCCAAGAAAGTAGAAAAGAAGCAAGTTGTTCATAATCATCAAAAGAAAAAGGCTAATGTATCTAAAAGAAAACAATTTCCTAGATACAAGAATAACTTTGAACCTACTTGTTTTTATTGTGGTATTAAAGGCCATACACCTAATGCTTGCTATGTTAGAAACTTTAGTATAGCAAGTGGGCATTATGTGTGGGTTAAGAAAGGAACTAACTATGATGGACCCAAAGCACATTGGGTACCAAATCAAACTTAATTTTTTTTGTAGGTATGCTTGAAGACCACATACAATATTTTGTATCTTGATAGTGGTTGTTCAAAGCATATGATGGGAGACATACACTAACTTTCATATCCATTGAAGATGTACTTTATGTTGAAAAACAAAAGACAACTTCTAAGTACAAGTCAACTTTGTGACAAAGGCTTCAAGATCAAATTTACAAAAGATGAATGAGGATGAAGACTAAAGACTTACTTTTAATTTCTATGTCATTTCTTTCATTTTCGTGTTTTACTTTGTTATGTCTAGACAATGTTCCATCTTATATTTCGTGATGTTTAGGTTTCTTATGTTTCGTTGTTATACGTTGTATCGTACAATTCGTTATGTTCGTGTTTTAGTGTGTGGTTGTGTTTAAAATTGTTTGTGTTTTTTAAATGAATTTGTTTCACTCTTTTTCCCCATCCTTTTTGATGTTAACAAAGGGGGAGAAGAATATGCGTATGTGTTGTTTTGTTTCAAAGAAATTGCAGGCCAAAATAACTATCATAAAACTCACTCCAAAATTCAAAGAATCATGGACTTAGGGGGAGCATACAATTTAGGGGGAGCCTTGCATTTGCTTAACATTTTTGCTACACAAAACAACATAAACATTTCAAGAATTGTTTTCAAGACTTGGTTGTCATCATCAAAAAGGGGGAGAATGTAATTGCAAGCTTCTCAAGTCATGTTTAAAGCATTGGTTTTGATGAAGACAACATGGATATCAACATTCAAAGGATGTGCAAAAAGTTTATCAATATCATATAAAACCTTGTTACAAGTCTTGAAGATTAGAAGAAGAATTATTAAAGAAACAACAAATGTCAAAAGGTATAAATAATTCTTAAACTTGAATATAGATGTTCACAAATATGCATTCATAATCATATACATATCCCACATTTTTAACAATAAGAAAAATTATGTTTGAAATCTTTTTCAAAAGGATTTTTTTGAAAATAAACTTTCAGGAACCGGTTCCTACCTAACAGGGAACCGGGTTCCAAACTTGTTCAAAAATCACTTCCCTGGAATTTGTACCAGGAACCGGGTTGTACCTATAGGAGAACCGGTTCCTGCGTATTATTTTTGAATTCTGGGTTATAACGTTCACTGGGAACCGGGTTCTGCCTGGGTCGGAACCGGTTCCCAGTGAACCAGTACAGATTTTCTTTTGTTTTTTGAACATAATTCAAATGGTATTCTTTCATGATTGCATTGCATCTTTTCATATCAAATGACATGAATGAAGAGGTATTTGTGACATTATAAATTGTGCAGATTTTCAAATTCAAATAACCTTCTTCAATTAACAATTTTCATCATTCAAATTTGCATATTCTTACAAACTTTCAAGTGTTCTTACAAATCATAAATTTTGTGAAACTTGCCATATACATTTTCATTAAGAAATCATTACAAGTTTCATACATTCATTGTGAACATTTATAATCATTGCTTGAGAATTGTTTCTTTCTTGAAGAAGAAGATCAATCAAAGATTGATAGTGCTCTCCATCTCTTTCAAATAAATCATTGTATTACAAAAAGAAAATATTCCCTTACTATCCAGGATTGTTGGAAGTAAGTGTTGTGATTTGAAGAGGATTGTTCTTCATTCACATTAGTGTTTGTTTGACCTTAAAGGTGTTAAGAACCTTTGGTCACCCTATAGGTTAGATAGTAAGCATAGGTTGTACAATCATTCTAAACTATAGTGAAATCTCTTTCGTGTTGGAAAGGGGACTGAAGTACTCTCGGATTGTGAGGGGAACCAGGATATATCGCCGTGTTCTTTACTTTTCCGCTTTTATCATTTTCATCACCATAATCAAGAAAAGATAAGATATAGTCAAAAACCTTCAAACACTTAACCACAAATTACTACAAGTATTCTCATAAAACCGAATAAATCTTTATATACCTAATTCACCCCCCCTCTTAGGCACTCTTAGACTTACATAAAATTCTTTCTTTGAACGACTTTACATAAATCTCTTCCTACGATACGAATTTTGTATCATCGTGGTATGCTCCAGACGAATCTTTTCCCTAAATGCAATCAGGACGCAAAGACGACTCTACACTGTCAGAGACTATAAATTTGCTACTCGCTTTTGGAAATCTATTAGCTTCTTGGATCCAAAACTCTTACAAGGAAATATTTGTTATGATTGAATTAGACATGGAATCGATTGTGGCTCTCTTTTTGACTGCTTGTTGGTGGTTATGGTATGCTAGGAACAAATTATGTCTTACGAATGAAGTGGTATCTTCGTATATTTTTAAACTCGTCATAATGAATTATACTAATTTGATAACTAAATGTTTTTCTCAAGCATAATTTGTCTCATCCAAAGTGAACGATCACGTGAAATACACGCAAATGTAGTAATATAATTTTAATGTTGATGGGAGTAGCCTCGGTTATTCTGGCGTCTCGAGTTTTAGTGGATTGATTCAAAATGTTGACGGTGCTTGGGTTCACGATTTTGCGGATAATATAAGTTATTCCAACATCCTTCATGATGAGCTAATGGTGCTATATCATAGTTTGTATATATCATGTGAACTAGACATCAAAGACCTTATGTGTTATTCTAACTCCAACTCTGCTATCAAGTTTATCTCAAAATTTGTTAATGTTTGAAATCTCTATGTCCCGATTCTTCACAATATTAAAAAATTTCTCTCTAAAGAATGACGAGTTCAAATATTTCATACTCTTATTGAGTATCTAACAAACTATGAGATTGATAATATCACGATATACCGATTTTTTACAATACCTCGTGTAAGAATTATTACTCCATCTTAACTTATGTGAGTGAGACTTTACTTTTTAAATTATTTTTTTCACTTGTACCAAAAAAACAAGGGTATTGTCATAATTTTATTAAAATTTAATATATTCATTTATAAAAATTACATTAATTAATTAAGATTATCCCAAATTTACTCTTGAGTCCATATTTAATACATTCCAACACAAAGATTAGCGTTTAGATTTTGCAAATTTAAACTGCAGCCGTGCCTCCCGCTCACTCTCTTTCACTCAGTCTTACGCTCTCCGCTTTCATTTATTATCGCTTTCACTCTTTTCTTCTTCTTCTCCCATTTCCACACACTACCTTTCTGTACTTCACTTTCTCTCTCATCCTTCTCTCTCTACAATTTCCATCAAATATATATACATAACCTTTGACTGAATTATAGCTCCACTTCAACTCACATACATTTCTACCAAATTTCGATATCATATTATCATGATTTCATTATTTTCATTACCACGCCGCATAGATCTGTTTTTGTTTATCACTTCACCATTCTTACAACAAAAATTAACCTACTAATAAATTAAAATATTCTAATTTTTTTATTATTTATTAATTAAAAAATTCCTCCTTTTAATTCGCTATTAATTTTTTTTTCTTTTTTTATTATTTTTAATTGATAGGTATTGTTTTATCTATTTGTTTATTTATTTATTTATTTATTTATTTATTGAATTGTGAATTGTGCAGTGTGGGAGGGAAAAATGAATAAAGAAAATGTTGAGAATGTTAGGGTGACTCGAGCAAGGGCTAGAGCCATGAAAGCGACTTCGACAACTGTGATTGGATTAAGGGATGTGACTAACATTTCAACAAAATCATCGCACAATAATAAGCGTATTCATACGTCAAATTTGCAGGTATATTAAATATGCAACTATCTACTTTTTTTTTTTTTAATATTAATATTATTATTATTGGGATTGATTTGTTCATGTGTGTTTGATCTTTGATTTAGTTAATGTTTGGTTTTATGTCTGACATCTCCTTTTTTTGTTTTATGGTATAATTGATTATTTTTTAGAATTGATTTTATTTGAATCTCTTGAGAGATTTTTATACTGTTCATTTATTTTTCAGGAATTTATCTTTAAATCACTTTTAATTCGAATCAATTTTATATGAAAGGTTTGTTTGTACACTAAAGACAAGTTTTTTTAACCTAATTGAAAACAAGTTATTAATAATGAAAGTGATGCTATTGATTGAACTTTTATAAGACAAAAACTCTTGCGGTCATGCTCACGATTCATTTCAAAATTTAATAGAAAATGTATGTAGATTTTTAAAGAATTTTGATGTTTTGACACAGAAATTTAACAACAAATTTAGATGGTTAATACATTTCAAATATGTTGTTAATCATGTTATGTAGATGGTTAATGAATATATTGGGTGTTATAATTCTTTCAACATTTGTTGAACAAAATTAACCATAATTTTAAGTTTCATCTACCACTACTTTTAGAGGTAAATTATGTTTCAAAATATAATTTCTTGTTTTAAATTTAGTGGAAATAATTTCTGTTTTCATTTGCAGATTTACTAATTCATGTTTGCAGTAAATTTTTTTTTACTGTGGTCTCACTTTATGACACGTCGTAAACTTTGATATTGCTGCAAAATGCGGCCACAATTGTCATTGCGATAATCTCATAGAGACCTCTAAAACCTTTATATTGCAGCCGCAATTTAAAACTTTTTAAATTTCTATTTCGTCCATAACATGTTATCGGGCCATGGTGCAACGCCATGGCAGATATCAATGGCGGATTTTTGGCTATCCATCATGACCAAATTTATGAATGATGGCAATGCCATACATCAGACATGGCAGTGCCATATGTCGGATTTTTTGCTCTCCGCCAAGTCTGCCATCGATAATACTGATCCATCATAAAAGGAATAATCGAGCGGGATTTTGTAAATCTTTGGAGTGAATAATGGAATCGGAGGCTATTTATCAACTGAAAATAATTTCTTGAACTAAATTGCTTGTTTAGATAATCTTTTAACTAGTGATTTGGTGATACTGTTCATTACATAGAAGAATGAAGGTTGTAAGAAGAGAAAGACCAAGGCAGCTTCAGAAGAAAATGCCTCCTTACAAGTTTTGACAACCAAAGAGAATGTTCAGAAAGAGTTGGCTAAAGATTCTTCGACAACAACAATGAAAGATTCTCTGCAGCAGCAAGTGCAACCTTATTTGATTGTTACCAGGTTTTCAATGCAGAACTCTGTCAACTCTCCAATTGAAGGTTCGTTCAACTATCTCATTCGATTTAATTCAATATGACGTATCAGATATCGAACATGTCTTCAATATGAAGTCTTGGCGCCACAATTGCTAAATCATAAATTACTTACTAGTTATACTTTTTTTTTTTTTTTTTTATCTTGATTGGATTATGCAGATATAAATCTGATATGCGAGAAGCTAAGAACCTCGGTTGGCTTTGGAATCGTGGACATTGATTTGGAGGCAAAGGATTCTCCTGTTTGGACTTCTTATGCCCCTGATATATACTATAATGTTCATGTCAGAGAGGTTTGTGTTGTAAAATGTCTTTTTTTCTTCATTTTTACTGTCAATGTAATTGATTGTGTGTTTTGGTTAAATCTTTCTAGTGTGAAAAGAGGCCACTAGCCAATTACATGGAAAAGGTGCAGCAAGACATCACTCCAACCATGCGGGGAATTCTGGTTGATTGGCTTGTGGAGGTTAGTCCCATTATCGTATTAGACACAGTTTGAATAAACAACTTAATTACATGCTTATAGCATAAGCCCTTCGATATGAACTGCATCAATTTTTGGTTGTTGAATGGATTTGTTGGAATGTTATTATGTTCTTTTTCAGGTTTCTGATGAATATAAACTAGTTCCAGACACACTCTACCTGACAGTGAATCTCATTGATCGATTCCTTTCCTGTCGCGTGATTACAAGGCAGAGGCTCCAGTTGCTTGGTGTTACTTGCATGCTGATTTCGTCGTAAGTACAATACTTTGTAATTTTCCTTCTTGGTGAATATTGAGGCTTTGATACCAAAGTTGATATGCCATTAAGTTTTACATTTTCAACCGATAATGTACAATGTTTTTTTTCTGTTATCACGGGGAAATTCTGAGTTACGCTTCTTTTCTTGCATGGCTTGAAGTAAGTATGAAGAGATTTCTGCTCCTGGACTAGAAGATTTTGTCACCATCACCGATAATACATATTCGAAAAAAGAGGTATAAATAACATTTGGTATTATTACCGGAAACTTCATCTTTTCAATTTGTGTTCATAATGACTGATATATGAAACACCTAATCACCGGCACTTGATAGATGTTGAAAATGGAGAAAGAGGTGCTGAATGTTCTGCACTTCCAGTTATCTGTTCCTACAATCAAAACATTTCTCAGGTACATAATACATATACAATTTTTCTCCAAACATTGTTTAAATTCAACGGAACTCTAATCTTCGTCTTCTTTGGCTTTCAGGAGGTTCGTCCAAGCAGCACAATCTTCTTACAAGGTACTTAATATATACTGTACTTGATATTGAATATCCGAATTCCGAATCGATATTCCCTGCGCACTGCATTAATGAGATCGGCACCATTGGATCAGTATAGCTCACATTTCGACTTTAATAAATCATATTTCAAATACATATTAAAAATCTGAGTTGTATGAGCTTTTGATCAAACCGCACCAATTTCTTAACTGTGGCAATTGTGTGATTCTCTAAATCTTCTGAAAGTGCTTCTATCAGTCAACTACGGAACTGAATTAACAAAGTCAAGTTGATTGTACTTTTTTTTTGCTGTTATCAGGTTGCTTATCCTGAACTGGAATTCATGGCTAATTATTTAGCAGAGCTTGCACTGGTTGAATACAGCTTCTTGCTGTTTCAACCTTCCAAGATAGCTGCATCTGCAGTTTTTCTTGCCAGATGGACTCTAGGCCAGTCAGAACATCCATGGGTCTGAACTTTATTTCAAATACTTAACTTTCATTTTTACAATTAGCCTATTAGTTTCGACTTAAAATTAATCTAAATCAGATTCACATGTGCCATCTATTTGCAGAATCCGACTCTTGAGCACTATACAAATTACAAAGCATCAGAGCTTAAAACTACTGTCCTTGCACTGCTTGATTTGCAGCGTAATACCAAAAGCTGTGGTCTGAATGGTGTTCGCGACAAATATAAACAAGATAAGGTTAGCAATTAATTTTTTTTTTCTTTCTATTGTTCTTTCATTAGTCTTTATCTCTCAGCTTCTCCTGACAGTGATTTTGGCTTCCTATGACAGTTCAAAAGTGTGGCAAATTTTTCTCCAAAACCGGTGGAACCTCTTTTCTAGGCTCAACTGTAAAAGTTAAAAGAATAAGAATAAAGAATTACTTTAGAAAATTTCTGAATAAACATATATGGAAGGGGAGTGAGAGATTATGTATGATTGTAAATATTTTGCAATCAAATTTTGATTCTATTCATTTTCAACTACGGTCTATTCTATTCCGTAGTTGTGATTCGTAGGCTGGTACCAACCTCTGGTGCTTCTATTCTATTCCGTAGTTGTGATTCGTAGGCTGGTACCAACCTCTGGTGCTTCTTGACCTCCTTATTCTATTCCGTAGTTGTGATTCGTAGGCTGGTACCAACCTCTGGTGCTTCTTGACCTCCTTATAGTGAATGATACAATGACAGTAGAGAGTTGTATTAATAATAATGTTACTTTTGTAATGTAACAAACATTCTTATTTATATCACATCACAATAATAAACAATTGTCTGTCATATTGTTGTCGCAATTTGATTTCTTTTCTTTACTCGCCAAATACACTATAAGTTGTTGCCAAAGTGATTGCTTATCGAATTAGACATACTCCGAAGAAATTGTCATTTATGCACACATAATTTCACAAGTGGATCTTTCTAATGGATCCCACAGTTTTTGTTAAACAGGCTCTCAGGTTAGTACTTGTATTTAATGGAGAGCACCTGAGGATTATAATGTAAGAAGGTACATACAGAGAGAAGGAAGATATTACAAACAAGCTTCTTATACATTCGTTTGATCCACAACAATTGCATGATTCTTTTCAACACTGTCGATTTCAAAATATTACATACCATATAGTAAGTAATCAAAACAGTGTCACAACATCTTGCTGCCAGAAGTAACACCATATTGCATCCAAAACCAAAATGCCTCCTCACAATTCTCGAGGATTCCATAGCTAGCATGCAGTTCATGTCATCAAAGGAGAGACTAAAACAGCAGTATTTCCAATTACAGGCTTGAGACTGGCTGCCAGCTCTAATTGTTTCCATGCTTCCTTTCGCTTCTCGGCTTCTGAGATTAAAATTGCTTCTTCTTCCTTAAATTGTGTATGGCAAGATATGAAAAGCTTCTCGTCCATCTCCAAGAACATCTGTCTGATGTTATGGGTTAAGTTTACAACTGCTGGGTTCCAGTGGCTTTTGATATTCCTATCAAGTGCCGGAAATATGATGGGCAGGATCACTTGACGGTTATGAGCGATCAAATTTACAATGTGGTCATTGTTCCACAGGAAAAGCGTCCTTTCAGCTACCTGAAACAATCCATGTAGAACAAGAAAAAATGTATTTTTCATCAATGGAAACAACCAATTCTTAAAAAATATATAGCACCATGAAAACTATAGAGCATAGAATGGATCTAATCCTTTTGAATGAAAGAATAACATAGGTGCAAGCAAATGGTGAGAATTACCGAATGAGTTCAGTGTAACAATTTTACCTGAAAGTGTAGGCTATTAATGCAGCACGAAATTCGCAAAAACAGTGGGATCATGATCCTCTGGAACTCTACCATGCTGATTCCTTCCAAAATTTCTTCCAATTCTCCCAGAAACATCACTTCTTTCTGACTATTTGTTACCGGCCAATATTTCAACAGACCACTTATAACAATGCTCGCTAACTTCGGCTCCTTCTCTAAGAACTGCGTAATACAGAAGGATAGTTGCTGAAAGTACACCCCCAAAGATTTAGGCTTGTGCAAGGGGATCAACACTCTCCACAAGAAGATTTTGTGTTCCTCTTTCAAGGGTAAAGCAAATCCACAAATGACACTTCCAAAAATCTCCAACAACTCTGCAATCCCGTTATGTTTCTCGGTCTCAATCACAAACCGATAGAAGATATTGTTAATTGTTTTCCGAATAAAGGGTCTATGCACCATGAACTTCCCATAAACCCTATGCAGAATCGTCTTCAAACAGTCTCTTTCTCTTGGATCCTCGGAATCAAACAGTTCGAGCAACTTCGAAATGAACGAATGATCGATATACTTTTTCGCTACCTTAGCATCGAGGCACGAAGAAGAGATAAATTTAAGCAGCAATTCATAGACAAGTTGCAAATGTGGCCAAGCCGGATCGAACATTGGATCATCATCATCATTCTCACCACCACTAGCAACAACTCCATTAACCCTATAATTAGGCGGAAAAACTCTAAACAAATTAAAAGCACACATTCTACACATTGCAAGAATAACAGGTTCACTAAACTTCATCGAACCACTAGCAACAAAATCAACAATTTCAACCAAAGTTTTCCTTTTCACATCTTTATCAGCAATGTTCTTACCAGGGTCAGTAAAATCAAATGTCACACAACAAAGACTCAATTTACTCACAAACAAGTTCATCTTCTCACCATTCGGAACATCCTTAAACGGCACCAAAGGCTCAATCCCAGAAACCATACTAGCTGGAAACACAGCCGACGAAGAAGCTCGTTTCAACACAGCACCACCGCCTTGCTGCCGATTGTGGCATTTACCAGAAGCACGCGGGGATTCGACAACCCGGGTCGACTCATCTTCATCGATTTTTGAAGATTTCCGAGGAAGCTTGTTGAAAAGCTGCTTCAGCATTGCAACCCAGAAGCAGAAATCCACCAATTCCACCAATCCCAAAGCTTTTACATCAAACCCATGAAGAAACAATCAAAATCAACCAAAACCCCCCCAAAAAAATACTAATTCTGAACCAGAAAAACCCTAGATCTCGTTCACCTAAACAAGTACAAATTCCAAGCAATCTAGATTTCCACCTGAAATTGAGATCCACACTTGAAATGGGGTTCAAGAAATTTCCAATCTTTAACCATTCATCAACGTAAAAATCAAATCTTGAAGATTGCGGTTCGTGTGTTACGAAGAACACGTGAACCAAAAGAGGAAAGGTAGTAAAACAAAAGGACAACAAAAACAACAACAACAAATAAAAAAGATTGTTACAAACAAACACAACAACAACAACAATAAACAACAATGACTACGATGATAATGTTACAACTGAATCAAATCTCACATTGTAACATTTTTTCCAATTTTTTCGAAAATTAAAAAAAATTAAAAAAAAAATATGGGTATATAAATAAAATGATGGATCTAAGAGAAAACGAAATGCATGTAGAGATTATTATTTTGATTTTTTATGGGTGATGGATGAATGGAAAGGAAAGAACCCTTTTAGCTGTGGCTTCTTGGTGTTAATGATCCATCACCATTAAAATGAAAAAATAAAATGTAAAGGTTATAATGAGTTTTTATTTTTTATTTTAATTATGTAAGGATAAAATATTTGGTACTTTAATTCAAAATATGTGAAATTCAATGGACGGCACTTTCTTTTTCATTGTTTTCTGTACTTTGCCGCTTATTGTGATTTTCATGGCACGTTTATCATCATCAAATTATAATGGCAAACAGATTTTTTTTTATAACGGTTGTGTTTGGTTTGAACGTACTCAAAAATTGATTATATTGGTTTTAGTTGAAAGTAAATTTAATGTAAAATAATTTATATTTGAGTTTGAATATTTTGGTTAAAAAAATTAGAAGTAAACATTTTTTATAAAAAAATTTTTAATTAAAATTGATTCTAAAATGATATATGGATTATGAGAGTATGTTAAATGTAGTACCGTAAAAGAACTGACTTTAGGTTTTACGTTATATCGTAAATGTAACGATTAACAAGAGTCGTCACCGGCTTTTCTTTTATCCAATAAAGAAAATAGTGAAAAGAATAGGAAAGACCTTTGAGAGTTTTTTTTTTAGATCGGTGGTAGGTTATGAAAGGGGAAAGTATTAGCACAATTTTCATCTGTAGTTTTCTACGTACTCTTAATTGCTAGCTCACTTTGAAAATAATGCTTCGTGTTTGTGTATGTTTGAAAATATTTTGAAAACGCTTAAGTGCGGCAATTTTGTAATGATTTTCGTATCGTTGAGAATATATATAAAATATTTGTTTTAAAAATATTTATTGGCTGAAAGTATTTGTTTTGGAAAGATGTTTTGAAACTACCAATGTAAGGCAGTTTGCTTTATAATAACACTCGTATCAGTCCTTAAGAGTGTTTATAAAGTCTTTTGAAAGTAGTTGTTTTAAAAGTGTGAAATATGGAAATTGTTTTAGTTTGTGAGCAAGTGATTACGAGCGATCTACCTACTCAAAGAATCTGTATTCTTTTCCTCCTCCTTTAGATAATGCTATACTACCATTAGTTAATAGGAAGCCTTATTATTGGATGTGAGAGACAGGCGTGGGTCATCGTACAATCATAGAAGGCAACTTGTAAGACACTTTAACAATTGCCGTAAGGGACTAAGATCGTTTACCGAAGGCAACATCGAAGGGTCATCGAGGGACTACGATCTCTTAACCGAGGGTCTTTGCTAAAGCATTCCGCGTTCGAGGGACATGATTGTTTAAATCAGAGGCAACAAGTGAGGGTAACCCTAGAGGTGTATGTGTGCAAAGTGTTTTGATTTTAAGTATTTTATCTTTGATATTAGGTTTTCTAATATTTGTTTGTAAATTTTTGCCGTACAATCCTATTAAACTAACAATAATAAGGAAATCAATAAATTGCGGAAATTAAATGTCCTACACTATTACAACGCTTTGGGGATGGGGGTACAAATTTATGAATGAGGGGGGAAAGCAATAAACCATAATTATCTATTACAATCCATAAGCAATTACATAACTATGAAAATAATTATGCGAAAAATAAACAAACACGCGAAGGTGGTGAAAAGGGGAAAATGTTTAAAACCTAAAAAAATTTTAAGTATTAAAAAATATTTTGTTGTTTCTTTGTTTAGAAATTTTGAAATGTGAAATAAAAGTTAGACCTAATTCTAATTTAATTTACAATTTAATAAAATAAGGTGTGATTAAATTAATTAATCTTTACTATCAAAAATTTAATTAAAATCTAAGAAATTCTAAGTATTTAGAAAATATTTTTTTGTATTTTTATTGGATAGTATAAAATAACAAAACCTAATTC